GTAGAACATTAAGTTTCCATAAATTCGATTAATTGTGAAGAAGTAGTTAACGATGATTTGTAAGAATTTGTAAGAAAAAGAAAAAAAAACATTAGTCCGATAGAGAAATTATCTAATTATCAGTCTTTCTTGGTATACCAAAAGTTCCGGGGGATAGAAAGAAGGAATGGCGTGTGTTAAAAATCGTTCGAAACAAGTATAATAAGTGAAAGTTGCGTTTCATTCGTTTCGTAGCGTTCGATTGCATTGAAATTCGATTTTGTTTTTTGTTTTTGTACACCCGGTATTAAGCGACCATGAGTTTTCCCCATATTTTGGGCGCGAGTCATTCATGCTTAGACGGGCTTACCTAAGATAGGTATTTTAAGCATTATTTATTTAAACTACTACGTGTAATGATCAGTTGTATTGTGACTCCTTTAGAGATTCTTGAAACTGCGACAATTATTTCGGTACATGAACACTAGTGATAGCGATCATCGATTTTACGAATCGTTGTATACAAGCTTCCACCAATTTGTGCTCAGACTATTTATACCAAAATGTGTTAACATATAGTACAATTCGAAAGACGATGATTTCTTCAAAGGAAAAAGGTGCACATTAAATGTAGAATTCTATGTCATTTCATTACTTCATTCGAGCCGCGGCAATTTGTTTCAGTATTTTGGGTTCACCATAACTTTAGAAGGAAATTTCTCATTTTCCTCCAAATATAAATATTCCAATAAATTTAACTTTAATTTAAGATATATATTTCATTATTAGATGTACAGTGATTCCGTTGAAAACTCGTTGTCAAAAACTGGAATTATCCTAATTCAGAATTTCAACGTGTTTACTTTTCGTTTAACTATCTTCCGTCAATAATAATGATCTACTTTCGAATTGCACTATTTCAGGCCGCCCCGTGTTTGTATTGTATTACAAATTTGTGTTGTTTCGATCGTTTTTACATAAACAGAAAAAAATGTGTTCAAATGTGTTCAGACGGTAATACATTTATGCGAGTCGCAACACGGAACATTTTTAATTGCTTTTTGCGTCAGATACTCATAGCACAGAGACATCCTTCTATTTTCTTTCTTGTGTTTCAAACGCATCAATGGGAAAACCATACTTCCAAAAGAAATGGTAGATAACGTTAGACGAATACACTGCCAAACGTTTCTGAAATATATTTAATAAACAACGTTAGACAATACTGTGCTATGATATATTAATTTCTAATTAACCCTTTCGGTGCCTTGAGGATCCATATCCAAGCGTCGAAACGATGTTGGGCTAATGCGCAGCACGAAATCTCGGCTCCGAAAGCGTTAATCGAAAGTTTACTTTTAGGTTTTATCCCCGTTCGCGCGCTCGTTTCCGATGAAACCGCGAATGGGGGACTTAAGTACAACTTAAGCCGATTTCGTACGTTTGTTTGCGCTACTAAGTTGCATCCAAACAACCGCTGAAACTCCAGGTTCGTGTCTATCTTCGCGCGGATGACACGAACGCAACGATCGTCTTCTGCGGATCAGCGTCACTGAAGCATCCTCATCGTTTTATCGTTTCATAACACGTGCTTAAGTAGGATAGAGAGACGCGGGGCCAACGCACGCGTTTGCCGAGTTGATCGTGCATTAATTTAATCGCGCGTCGCCACATTGTATCGTTAAACGAATTCATTATTCCCCTTTTCTTTTTGTCTTGTTCTATCGCGACCTTATGTTCTACGAAGGTGACTGTCTTTCATGCCAGGGTGGTGACCCGTTTCCGTCGAGGTCGACTGTGTATGCAGGGTTCAGGCTAGATGGACGAACGCGAAACAGAAGATTCGGTTTAGACCGTTTAAGCCTTTTAAAAAAGAGTAATCGAAATGGATTGAAAGCGAACCTGTAATGACGTTAGATTAATTTAAGATTGATTTCTAGTTGGAATGGAAATGATTCGATTTGCGAAGATTATTCTTTGTACTTATAGTAGAAGAGGGAACCCGAGGTCACAACACGTTGATTTCCTTGAGGCTTTTATTTGTAACGGGAGAAAAATTAATTGGCTGCTCAAGACTCGAGTATACCGAATAGTTGAAAGTTGACAGGACCAAGTGTTAAATGTATAACAGTTTCCTCAGGACCAAAACTATCCATTTCTAGTGGAAGTACAGAAATCAATTTTCTTTACGTCTGATGCTAGCGATCACCGCTTAACACTTAACCATTTGCCAATGTCATTATCGATCACTTGTATTGTGAATACTCAGATAGTTTTAACTTCGCACATTCCTTTATTGTGTAATTGGATTCTACTAGTTATCGTAGACGTGAAGTTGAAAAAAAGAACTGATTTGTAAACTTGCACCGATATGGGAGCAGACGGTTATCTGTTGAATGTAAATATTATAAAGTAGGCAAGTCATATTTTGACAATAGTTCTTCAACAATCTTGAGCGACCAATTAAATTTCTACTAATTACATTTAAGACTGCACCTATTAATAATTGTTTAATTTTAACAAGTTGGAAGAATTGATGGATTAATTTGTGGAAATTAAAATTATCCCTTGGAACGTTATCCTTTTTATGATTGCGATATCTAGGTCCATTTTAATTAATATTCACTTCTTAATTTTTCAAAATATATTTCCTTCCTTTTATTAAATCTAATATAATAAATTATGTCAGCTACCAGAAGCTTACAATTTAGATAAAGCCTTCAAAAAACTGAGTCAAAATGGTTCCGAACATTCAACGATTAAACAAAAATTTATTTTTTGTAGTAAAAATTTTATTATGCTAAAATAAGCCAAAAGTTTCTTGCATGCCAGCAAACATTTTCATTCTCATTCGAACAATGAATCTACAGAATCCACAATTTAGTAACGAACTGAAGAGAGAAAGGTGTGAGTCGTTGAACGATCAATTATGTTATTAACCTAATGAATTATGTGACCTCACTGCAACGTTGTAAATGAGTCTTATTTAGGCGACTTACCTTTAGCCGTATTACTCTATCTAGCCTGGAACCAACTTTCCGCGAGCATAGAATGTTATAAAAGCGACGAGGAACGAAAGCGTTGAACATAGAATCCTGTACAAAGTCAATGAGAACAATAGGGAAACAAAGAACTGAGTATACCTTGGAGCCTACATGCGCGGTAAGGAGACGATAAATTAGTTCATTGATCTTGACCAATGACCGATTATATCGAACGATTCGCGCTAGGTCAGCGCTTCGACTTTGCGTTTCCCGGAACGCAACGAGCAGAAGAAAATGAAGATGTACTGCCAGTATCGTATGTAAATATTGCACCCCTTCAGATACAGTTCCCCACGTCCCCGCCCCTCCGCCCAACATCCAACTTTTTTAACGCAAATAATATTTCACTCGAGTACGTCAAGAATGTTCATAGTTGTACGTTCGTGTTTGTATGGCTATAACGCAGACGCGAGAGGGTCCATTCCTCGACCCGCTTTCGGTCTATATGCATCCGATGCATCGTCTCCGTGTGAGATTTCGTTATTAAGAACGCATTTTTCGTTACTCAAGGCATTTCTCCATGAAAGGGAAGAGATTCGATTGTGTTTACCAAACAGGTGGTCAAGATCGTTCGTTGATCCTACATAGACATATGTCCTTCGAGAGTGTTGAACATAGAGTACCTCAAACTGAGGATACTATAAAAATAAAACGAACGCAGAGGAATGTCCAATGCTTCTCGGAACGTTAAAATAATTTAGATATTTATTTTATAGGAGAGCGTTTTAATTGTAATTTCACGATGTAACTTTTGTAAAACGTTGCAAGTCAATTCTGAAAAGTCTACTTTTATGTACAATTTCGTTATTGTATCGCGAAGTTTCTCCGGTTAGGGGAAGCGACCTTTTGGTAGGACAATTAGCATTTAATAGCGATTCCATTGACTTTGAATTCGTGTCCGATGCATTTGTCATCGTTTGTACTTTTCGTGCTTAATTTTTGTAAGAATTATGTTACTTTCGATTTCGCCTACGACCGCCAATTTAGTAAAAGCAATAAAATTTTTTTCTCTATGTGAAACGAGTTCGGTGAAATTACTCGGTCTTTCTCTTTCTTTCATTTCTCACGATCAATCGAAGATTAAATGCGAAACATCCAAAGCGAAGCTTCGATTTAATTAGCCGATCGTTCGAACTATAGCCGCCATTTGCAGCGAGTGGAACCAAAATGGCGGGTTTCGCCGGCGATCAGATGCATTTCGTCGAACCGCATTTATTAAAGGAAGAACGAGATTGGTCAAAGAAAAATTATTAGCAGCACGTATCAATGATACTTCGAAGATCCATGTAAATACACGGTCTCTGTCCCGTGAATTACTTTTATACTGAAAATTGTTCGGAGATGCTGATATATATATATTGATATATATATTAAATATATATATATTGATATATTGATATATTTAATAAAGACATTATTTCTGAAGAAAATGATACTTAATTTTCAGCGAATGATATCACGATTTATTAACGAATACTGTGTAGATTGTTAAGGAAAAGTGTTCACTACTTTTTTATACAGTATTCAAAGAAATTGAAGAAGCAAGTACAAGTATTAGGTAAAATGAATGAAAGAAGGATGCTTAAATGAATGATATAACTGTAAAATAAAACGAACGAATCTTATTAAATTCTTGTAACTTATTTACTCGTGTAATATCAATTTTTAGTTATTATGAACAGTTCATTAAAACATTACAACTGTTTTTAGTTGTAGATTTTATTATCGATGCTTATTGACACGACTGACTAATTAGAAATTTATTAGAATATCAAATTGTAGATTATTAATGCAATATTTTCTGAATGCCAAGGAACTCTCAAGTATGATAATATTACAAGCACAAAGTAGGTATAGAAGTATTACATAATGAACTGTATACAGCGATCAGACAATTCTTTCGAACTTTCAAACACTTTTTCTTTAACAATTTGCACAC